GACCAATCAGAATCGAGCCGACGACAACATTGAATTTCGCTTTTAGCCAACTGCGACGGGAAATCCGAGTGACTCAACAAGCTGTCAGCTGTTCTTGTTTTGCTTCGGTTTTTCCCCTTCTTCTTTCTCCAGAGTGTCTGATCTCTCCTGTAATAACTAAGAACATTTATGGAACTCAGATTTGGATTCTAAAAACACCGGAAATACGGAGTTCAAAACACCCAGGCCTATGATTAGATCGGTTTACTGTTAAAAAGGCGATCGAGATTTCTTCTCAGCTGGATCCTCAATCCGACGCTATCGTGCTAAGAGGCAAAACCGATCCCAGGCCTCCGATCCAGGGCGGAGGGAGGGAAAGAGGTCGCTGGGAATCGGGATGGAGACGGGAGAGGGAGCAGACGGTCCTAGCGGACCGGGTGAACCGGGAGCCGGGCCGGGGACGGATCTGGCGGGGCTTGGCTGCGCCTCTTTCAACCAGGACTCCACGTAAGCGCCTCCGAACCCGCTGCCTGTTGGGCTGGTTGCCGACAACAGAATGCTCTCTCTGCAAATGTCCTCGTCATTTTCTATAAAATAAGCTATGGATAAATATACCTGTCAGTATGATATCATGGTGATGCAATCTTAAAACATATTTCCCTTTCATCGTGAGGTCCTAAAATCATAATTAAATAGCCCATAGATGTTATAGAATTATACATAGCGGCTATATAATCAGAACGTGATGATCAGAAAGGGCTGTTCACAGTCATCTGAACCAAATACACTAATTATGCTTAAACCCTAAACCACAGGATTTGTTCTAAAAAGCTTTGAAAGCTCGGAGTGAAAGTGTTCAGCCAAGGCTACTGATGAGAAAGACGGAGAGTGTTGACAACAGGGGATGGAACCGTTCTGGAGGCAGAACAACAGGACTTCAAAAGCACTCCTGTTATACACGCTAATAGAAAATAGAAATATATTGATCCCTTTCTCAATGTCTTCATTTTAAAGTGGGGTATAGGACTGGACCAACACAGTAATAAACTAGTATAATAATAATAATAATAATAATAATAATAATAATAATAATAATCTCACTAAAATAAGAGATTGAGACGAGAGAGAGTTCCTTTGCCTAATGTAAGCACTAACTGAGAACGCTTGAATCGCCAAGCTCAACTACTTTTCATGAACAGAGCGCTATCCCAAATGGCATCATATTCTCTATGTAATGCACTAGTTTTGACCAGGGCCTGTAGAGCACTATGTAGGGAATAGGGTGTTATTTGGGGATGCAGCCTAACTTTCAAATCGCCTGCTCACCTGATATGTGGCTGGCTGGCACTGTGGAGAGAATTCTCACAACCTGTCCATAGCTTCTGTCGTAGGCTAGGTACTAGGTAACACACCTTGAACAGGAGAGTGTTTATCTGATGAAGGAATGCAGAACAGAGTAGACCTGTTGTCCTGTCCTGTTGTGTTTGGATCAGGTTGAGAGCTTCAAGTTCCTTGGTGTCCACATCACCAACAAACTAACATGGTCCAAACACACCAAGACAGTCGTGAAGAGGGCACGACAAAACCTATTCCCCCTCAGGAGACTGAAAAGATTTGGCATGGGTCCTCAGATCCTCAAAAGGTTCTACAGCTGCACCATCGAGAGCATCCTGACTGGTTGCATCACTGCCTGGTATGGCAACTGCTTGGCCTCCGACCGCAAGGCACTACAGAGGGTAGTGCGTACGGCCCAGTACATCACTGGGGCCAAGCTTCCTGCCATCCAGGACCTCTATACCAGGCGGTGTCAGAGGAAGGCCCTAAAAATTGTCAAAGAGTCCAGCCACCCTAGTCCTAGACTGTTCTCTCTGCTACCGCACGGCAAGCGGTACCGGAGCGCCACGTCTAGGTCCAAGAGGCTTCTAAACAGCTTCTACCCTCAATCCATAAGACTCCTGAACATCTAATGAAATGGCTACCCCCCCCCCCCCCCCCCCCCCCCCCCCCCCCTCTTTTACGCTGCTGCTACTCTCTGTTTGTTATCTATGCATAGTCACTTTAATAACTCTACCTACATGTACAGTGGGGAGAACAAGTATTTGATACACTGCCAATTTTGCAGGTTTTCCTACTTACAAAGCATGTAGAGGTCTGTAATTTTTATCATAGGTACACTTCAACTGTGAGAGACGGAATCTAAAACAAAAATCCAGAAAATCACATTGTATGATTTTTAAGTAATTAATTTACATTTTATTGCATGACATAAGTATTTGATACATCAGAAAAGCAGAACTTAATATTTGGTACAGAAACCTTTGTTTGCAATTACAGAGATCATACGTTTCCTGTAGGTCTTGACCAGGTTTGCACACATTGCAGCAGGGATTTTGGCCCACTCCTCCATACAGACCTTCTCCAGATCCTTCAGGTTTCGGGGCTGTCGCTGGGCAATACGGACTTTCAGCTCCCTCCAAATATTTTCTATTGGGTTCAGGTCTGGAGACTGGCTAGGCCACTCCAGGACCTTGAGATGCTTCTTACAGAGCCACTCCTTAGTTGCCCTGGCTGTGTGTTTCGGGTCATTGTCATGTTGGAAGACCCAGCCACGACCCATCTTCAATGCTCTTACTGAGGGAAGGAGGTTGTTGGCCAAGATCTCGCGATACATGGCCCCATCCATCCTCCCCTCAATACGGTGCAGTCGTCCTGTCCCCTTTGCAGAAAAGCATCCCCAAAGAATGATGTTTCCACCTCCATGCTTCACGGTTGGGATGGTGTTCTTGGAGTTTTACTCATCCTTCTTCTTCCTCCAAACACGGCGAGTGGAGTTTAGACCAAAAAGCTCTATTTTTGTCTCATCAGACCACATGACCTTCTCCCATTCCTCCTCTGGATCATCCAGATGGTCATTGGCAAACTTCAGACGGACCTGGACATGCGCTGGCTTGAGCAGGGGGACCTTGCGTGCGCTGCAGGATTTTAATCCATGACGGCGTAGGCGTAGTGTGTTACTAATGGTTTTCTTTGAGACTGTGGTCCCAGCTCTCTTCAGGTCATTGACCAGGTCCTGCCATGTAGTTCTGGGCTGATCCCTCACCTTCCTCATGATCATTGATGCCCCACGAGGTGAGATCTTGCATGCCCCAGACCGAGGGTGATTGACCATCATCTTGAACTTCTTACATTTTCTAATAATTGCGCCAACAGTTGTTGCCTTCTCACCAAGCTGCTTGCCTATTGTCCTGTAGCCCATCCCAGCCTTGTGCAGGTCTACAATTTTATCCCTGATGTCCTTACACAGCTCTCTGGTCTTGGCCATTGTGGAGAGGTTGGAGTCTGTTTGATGTTGTGTGTGGACAGGTGTCTTTTATACAGGTAACGAGTTCAAACAGGTGCAGTTAATACAGGTAAGGAGTGGAGAACAGGAGGGCTTCTTAAATAAAAACTAACAGGTCTGTGAGAGCCGGAATTCTTACTGGTTGGTAGGTGATCAAATACTTATGTCATGCAATAAAATGCAAATGAATTACTTAAAAATCATACAATGTGATTTTCTGGATTTTTGTTTTAGTTTCCGTCTCTCACAGTTGAAGTGTACCTATGATAAAAATTACAGACCTCTACATGCTTTGTAAGTAGGAAAACCTGCAAAGTCGGCAGTGTATCAAATACTTGTTCTCCCCACTGTACATATTACCTCAATTACCTCGACTAACCTGTGCCCCCGCACATTGTCTCTGTACTGGTACCCCCTGTATATAGCCTCGCTACTGTTATTTTACTGCTGCTCTTCAATTATATGTTTTTTTTTTTTTTTTTAGGTATTCTTTCTTAAAACTGCATTGTTGATTAAGGGCTTGTAAGGAAGCATTTCACTGTAAGGTCTACACCTGTTGTATTCTGCGCATGTGACAAATAAAAATTGATTTGATTTTGATTTGAACATACAATTACTTCAACAATACACAGCTCACTTAATTTTTCCGGTGCAACTTTAGGCTACATTTTCTTTCAAGATACGATGGGCTAAATATTATGGTTGTGAGAAAATAAAAACTTAAAGTTTGATGTCTCTGCCACGAATTTCCAGTTTGAAAACGCTCTCCAAACTACATATTCCCAATGCATTTTGATACGTCGGCCAAAGGTGTGCGTTTTTGATAGGCCTAAAATGATTTTTGCCATAGGCCTTTGTAATACATAGCCTGCATTGGGGATTTTATTCATCAGAGATCTCACAATAAAAACAGCATTCAAAACTAAAACTAAGAAAGTTCAGGATAAAGATTAACAAAGATACATTTAAACAAAGTCTGGAACAATGAGTACAGTGAAGACAGAGAGCTTACTGTGGAATCTGTCTGTGTGTGGTCAAATGAAAAACTGCAAACACTTTTTCTGTCTTTCACTGATGATGATTGCAGGTTTGTACCTGTTTCAGAGCAGGACCGGACATGAGCACCAGACAGCCCCATCGAGTGGAACAGAGTAGTGGCTCTGAAAAACAGATGTGTATTTAGAACATGCCCAATGTAAAAACTCAGCAAACTTTTTAAACACTCCTAGTGTCGACCCAAATGGCACCCTGTTCTCTATATAGTGACTGTCCTCCCTGCTAGATGACTGTTCTCCCTGCTAGGTGACTGTCCTCCCTGCTAGGTGACTGTCCTCCCTGCTAGGTGACTGTCCTCCCTGCTAGGTGACTGTCCTCCCTGCTAGATGCCTGTCCTCCCTGCTAGACGACTGCCCTCCCTGCTCAGTCATCTTAATTTACATTTACGTCATTTAGCAGACACTCTTATCCAGAGCGACTTACAGTTAGTGAGTGCATACATTTTCATAGGTGCCTGTCCTCCCTGCTAGGTGACTGTCCTCCCTGCTAGGTGACTGTCCTCCCTGCTAGGTGACTGTCCTCCCTGCTAGGTGCCTGTCCTCCCTGCTAGATGCCTGTCCTCCCTGCTAGATGCCTGTCCTCCCTGCTAGGTGCCTGTCCTCCCTGCTAGATGACTGTCCTCTAGATGCCTGTCCTCCCTGCTAGGTGCCTGCCCTCCCTGCTATGTGCCTGTCCTCCCTGCTATGTGCCTGTCCTCCCTGCTAGGTGACTGCCCTCCCTGCTAGGTGACTGCCCTCCCTGCTAGGTGCCTGTCCTCCCTGCTAGGTGACTGCCCTCCCTGCTAGGTGACTGTCCTCCCTGCTAGGTGCCTGTCCTCCCTGCTAGGTGACTGTCCTCCCTGCTAGGTGACTGTCCTCCCTGCTAGGTGACTGCCCTCCCTGCTAGGTGCCTGTCCTCCCTGCTAGGTGCCTGTCCTCCCTGCTAGGTGACTGCCCTCCCTGCTAGGTGACTGCCCTCCCTGCTAGGTGACTGCCCTCCCTGCTAGGTGACTGTCCTCCCTGCTAGGTGACTGCCCTCCCTGCTAGGTGACTGTCCTCCCTGCTAGGTGCCTGTCCTCCCTGCTAGGTGCCTGTCCTCCCTGCTAGATGACTGTCCTCTAGATGCCTGTCCTCCCTGCTAGGTGCCTGTCCTCCCTGCTAGGTGACTGCCCTCCCTGCTATGTGCCTGTCCTCCCTGCTAGGTGACTGCCCTCCCTGCTAGGTGACTGCCCTCCCTGCTAGGTGACTGCCCTCCCTGCTAGGTGACTGCCCTCCCTGCTAGGTGACTGCCCTCCCTGCTAGGTGACTGCCCTCCCTGCTAGGTGACTGCCCTCCCTGCTAGGTGCCTGTCCTCCCTGCTAGGTGCCTGTCCTCCCTGCTAGGTGCCTGTCCTCCCTGCTAGGTGACTGCCCTCCCTGCTATGTGCCTGTCCTCCCTGCTAGGTGACTGCCCTCCCTGCTAGGTGCCTGTCCTCCCTGCTAGGTGCCTGTCCTCCCTGCTAGATGCCTGTCCTCCCTGCTAGATGACTGCCCTCCCTGCTCAGTCATCTTAATTTACATTTATGTCATTTAGCAGACGCTCTTATCCAGAGAGACTTACAGTTAGTGTGTGCATACATTTTCATACTGCCCCCCCCCCCCCCCATGGGAAACGAACCCACAACCCTGGCGTTGCAAGCGCCATGCTCTACCAACTGAGCTACAGGGGACAGTTAATGATGTAACTGTGCTGAAGGAGGACCTAACCTAAATGAGTTAATTCTTCTTCTGTTGGACAGCAGTAGTGCATCTCAGTCAAGATTTGCATACTAGCCTACTTTATGCAAATAATATTATTTATTTTATGTTAATTGAGTTCACTGGAAGGCGACACGTGGTTTACTCAATAAACAAAAGAAAAGTTCCTACAATTTGAATTATATGAATCATTAAATAGTCGTTTTTAATTACTCAAGGGTTTCACATCACAGAACCATAGAGATCATATAATGTAATTCCTTGGATAGAATCGTGAACATACTGTATCAGAACGTCACTGAGAACAGACATTCTCAGTGGTGGAATAGCATTCACTCTAGTAAATCTGATCTCAGGACTGTATGTGTTTGTGTCGTGTCTGTAACAACAGGAACACTTAACCAAGATACAGATGTCTGTTAGACCTGTGTTACTCAGTATCAGATAGGACGTTTGTATTAGACCTGTGTTACTCAGTATCAGATAGGACGTGTGTATTAGACCTGTGTTACTCAGTATCAGATGGGACGTGTGTATTAGACCTGTGTTACTCAGTATCAGATAGGACGTGTGTGTTTGTGTGGGCAGTTTTATCAGTTCTCTCAGAAACGTTGCATCAGTTTGGAAACATGATGACTATACAGTGTGTGTGTGGAGAGTGAGTGAGAAAGAGAGAGTGAGAGAATAAGAGAGAGAGAGTGAGAGCGAGAGAGAGAATGGGAGAGAGTGTGTGTGCAATACTTACTTTGTATTTGGACTGGCTATGCAAAATGATAACTGAGCAAGTTCAAGCACATCAGTACTCCATAGGCAATATCATGTTTAACAGAAACTGAAAATGATATTTCAGTCATGTAGTTTGGGGAAATTCCCTCCTGCCCAGAAAGGATGGAGAACATAGAGTTTACATGAGGAAAGAGTCACACTTTCAACTTTCAAATTCTATGTTTTTGTCCCTTTATCAAAAGTCCTTGCAGCAAACTTTAAAACAAAGTAAATGTTTGGGGTTCTGGAATCCCCAAAATAAACAATGCCTATAAAAAGCCTTGAGAGCAAAGTCTGGTGTGCATGAGATGAGTCACACTTCATTGACATGTTTTTACCGTAGCAAGTTCAATGTATTTTTTACTTATCTACCTCTGCTCGTTGTGTGTGTGTGTGTGTGTGTGTGTGTGCACACTGTAATACTCATGAAGAAACTAGTCACACATTGACTTATAATATTATATATGTGTTTATCAACCTCTTTTCAACCTCTGTATGTGTTGTTGTTGTGTGTGTGTGTGTGTGTGTGTGTGTGTGTGTTCCCAGGTCATTGGCAGTGGGAACCAAGACAGGCTATAAGCTGTTCTCTGTGACCTCAGTGGACAAACTGGACTGCATCTACGAGAGCGGTTAGTATAGCCCCGTCCCAAACAAACCCCTTGACCCTTACCCTAGTCCCCGTCCCAAACAAACCCGTCCCAATCAAACCCCTTCTCTTAGAACTCGTCCCAAACAAACCCCTAGACCCTTCCCCTAGACCCTTCCCCTAGAACCCGTCCCAAACAAACCCCTTCCCCTAGAACCCGTCCCAAACAAACCCCTAGACCCTTCCCCTAGAACCCGTCCCCCAAAAAAACCTTCCCCTAGAACCCGTCCCAAACAAACCCCTAGACCCTTCCCCTAGAACCCGTCCCAAACAAACCCCTTCCCCTAGAACCCGTCCCAAACAAACCCCTAGACCCTTCCCCTAGAACCCGTTCCAAAAAAAAACCTTCCCCTAGAACCCGTCCCAAACAAACCCCTAGACCCTTCCCCTAGAACCCGTCCCCCAAAAAAAACCTTCCCCTAGAACCCATCCCAAACAAACCCCTTCCCCTAGAATATACTTAGTTCCAACACCTCTGCCTCTCTCTGATAGGCTGCCTGTACTCTGACTCCTATACCAGAGCCTTGTACAGTGCCTTCGGAAAGTATTCATACCCCTTGACTTTTTCCACATTTTGTTACGTTACGGCCTTGTTCTAAAATGGATTAAATAAATACAAATCATCAGCAATCTACACACAATACCCCATAATGAAAAAGTGAAAACAGGTTTTTAGAAATAAACAACTGAAATACCTTATTTACATAAGTATTCAGACCCTTTGCCATGATACTCGAAATTGAGCTCAGGTGCATCCTGTTTCCATTGATCATCCTTGAGATGTTTCTACAACTTGATTTGAGTCCACCTTTGGTAAATTAAATTGATTGGACATGATTTTGAAAGGCACGCACCTGTCTATATAAGGTCCCACAGTTGACAGTGCATGTCAAAGCAAGAACCAAGCCATGAGGTCAAAGGAATTGTCCGTAGAGCTCCGAGACAGGATTGTGTCGAAGCACAGATCTGGGGAAGGGTACCAAAAATATTCTGCAGCATTGAAGGTCCCCAAGAACACAGTGGCCTCCATCATTCTTAAATGGAAAAAGTTTGAAACCACCAAGACTCTTCCTAGAGCTGGCCGCCCGGCCAAACTGAGCAATCGGGGGAGAAGGGCCTTGGTCAGGGAGGTGACCAAGAAATCGATGGTCACTCTGACAGAGCTCTAGAGTTCCTCTGTGGAGATGGGAGAACCTTCCAGAAGGACAACCGTCTCTGCAGCACTCCACCAATCAGGCCTTTATGGTAGAGTGGCCAGACGGAAGCCACTCCTCAGTAAAAGGCACATGACAGCCCGCTTGGAGTTTGTGAAAAGGCACCTAAAGACTCTCAGACCATGAGAAACAAGATTATCTGGTCTGATGAAACCAAGATTGAACTATTTGGCCTGAATGCCAAGCGCCACGTCTGGAGGAAACCTGACACCATCCCTACGGTGAAGCATGGTGGTGGCAGCATCATGCTGTGGGGATGTTTTTCAGCAACAGGGACTTGGAGACTAGTTATGTACGAGGCAAAGATGAACAGAGCAAAGTACAGAGAGATCCTTGATGAAAACCTGCTCCAGAGCGCTCAGGACCTCAGACTGGGGCGAAGGTTCACCTTCCAACAGGACAACGACCCTAAGCATACAGCCAATTCAACGCAGGAGTGGCTTCAGGATAAGTTTCTGAATGTCCTTGAGTGGCCCATCCAGAGCCCGGACTTGAACCCGATTGGAGAGACCTCAAATTAGCTGTGCAGCAACGCTCCCTATCCAACATGACAGAGTTTGAGAGGATCTGCAGAGAACAATGGGAGAAACTCTCCAAATACAGGTGTGCCAAGCTTGTAGCGGCATACCCAAGAAGACTCAAGGCTGTAATCGCTGCCAAAGGTGCTTCAACAAAGTACTGAGTAAAGGGTCTGAATACTTATGTATATGTGATATTTCCGTTTATTTATTTATTTATAAATTAGCTAAATTTTATAACAACCAGTTTTTGCTTTGTCATTATGGGTTATTGTGTGTAGATTTATGAGGGGGGGAAAACAATTTAATACATTTTAGAATAAGGCTGTAACATAACAAAATGTGGACAAAATGTGTCTGAATACTTTCCGAAGGCACTGTATTGGGATCTGATATGATCTCCCTTCAAGGCTCTGACTCATACAGTACTCTGCTCTGCCAAGCTGTAGCATTGTTCAGCCCATATATAGGATCTCATTCTAGTTCTGTCCAGCCTTTCTCTGGGCATTAGTGTCAGTTACAGGGAAATTCATTGGCAGTCCTCTTCCAGTGACGGGTAATTCTCTGTTAGTCTACTTCCTTGTGGTGAATCACTGGCTGTGTTCCAAACTTCATAGAGCCCTATGGCCCTTAGTCAAAAGTAGTGCACTATATAGGCAATAGGGTGTAATTTGGGTTGCAGACACTGTGTGTAGACTGATAACTGGTTGACAGACAACAGTGGATAGATGGATCACTTCACTAGCCACCAGTCTCTGGTCATTTACTGCTCAGTTCATTATTACTGGCAGACAGACACAGTGATACGGTGTGGAGATAGCGTCCTGCCGTGGTTGGTTTCTAATACCAGGCTACCTCAGCCCCCCAGGACACTAATACCAGGCTACCTCAGCCCCCCAGGACACTAATACCAGGCTACCTCAGCCCCCCCCAGGACACTAATACCAGGCTACCTCAGCCCCCCAGGACACTAATACCAGGCTACCTCAGCCCCCCAGGACACTAATACCAGGCTACCTCAGCCCCCCAGGACAATAATACCAGGCTACCTCAGCCCCCCAGGACACTAATACCAGGCTACCTCAGCCCCCCAGGACACTAATACCAGGCTACCTCAGCCCCCCAGGACACTAATACCAGGCTACCTCAGCCCTCCAGGACACTAATACCAGGCTACCTCAGCCCCCCAGGACACTAATACCAGGCTACCTCAGCCCCCCAGGACACTAATACCAGGCTACCTCAGCCCTCCAGGACACTAATACCAGGCTACCTCAGCCCTTCAGGACACTAATACCAGGCTACCTCAGCCCCCCAGGACACTAATACCAGGCTCCCCCCATCCCCCTGTGTGTCACCCTTGCTCTCCCCCATCAGAGACCCCAGATGTGTACATCGTTGAGCGGTTGTTCTCCAGCAGTCTGGTGGTGGTGGTTAGTCTCTCCATGCCCCGACGTATGAACGTCTACCACTTCAAGAAGGGAACGGAGATCTGCAACTACAGCTACAGTAACCACATCCTCTCTGTCAGACTCAACAGACAGGTAATAGAACTACAGTAACCACATCCTCTCTGTCAGACTCAACAGACAGGTAATAGAACTACAGTAACCACATCCTCTCTGTCAGACTCAACAGACAGGTAATAGAACTACAGTAACAACATCCTCTCTGTCAGACTCAACAGACAGGTACAGTAGATTGGACACGTATACATACATGGATACACGCAGATATGCATGGACAGATATGTAGGTCTCTTGCTAAACAACAATGACAATGTTTCAATGGGAACTTGAGTGTTCTCTCTCTGTCTCTCTGTCTGTCTCTCTCTCTCTCTCTCTCTCTCTCTCTCGCCCTCTCTCTCTCTCTCCTGTAGAGGCTGGTGGTGTGTCTGGAGGAGTCAGTCTACATACACAACATCAAAGACATGAAGCTGCTGAAGACCCTACTCAGCACGCCCTCCAACCCCTCAGGTAAACACACTATATACAGTGTCCATACAGAACGGTGTTTCCCAAACCAGTGTGTCTGCTCTATGTCTTTCTGATGGGTTGGGAAAAGCAGAAGCTGTCTTTCTGTGGACTGAAAGGAAAATGGATCAATAAAGTATTTTTCTTCTGTTCAGGTCTGTGTGCTCTGTCCATCAACCATTCCAACTCCTACCTGGCCTACCCAGGCAGCTCCACCATCGGAGAGATCATAGTTTATGACGCCAACAACCTGGTAAGGCCTACTATACTACTGAACTACTACTGAACAACTACTGTACTACTACTACTACTATACTACCACTGTACTACTATACTACTACTATACTAATATACTACTAGTATACTACTTTACTATACTACTACTGTACTACTATACTACTGTACTACAGTACTACTACTATTGTACTACAGTACTACTACTATTGTACTACTATACTACTACACTACTGTAATATTACTGTACTACTATACTACTTTACTATACTACTGTACTACTACTATACTAGTATGATACTGTACTACTACTATACTATTATACTACTACTACTATACTATTGTACTACTGTACTACTATACTACTACGGTACTACTATACTACTGTACTACTATACTATTATACTACTGTACTACGATACTACGATACTACTGTACTACTACTACCATACTATTATACTCTCTCTCTCTCTCTCTCTCTCTCTCTCTCTCTCAGAGCACTGTGACAATGATCCCGGCCCATGACAGTCCCCTGGCTGCTCTCACCTTCAACGCATCAGGCACCAAGCTGGCCAGCGCCTCGGAGAGGGTAAGCACTGAGCACTACTAGGATAGCTGCCCCTAGTGACAGGAGGCCAGCACTGCTTTTTGACAGCTTACCTGGATATTGTAGTTAGGCCCTGGCTATGTCAAAAACATTTAGTACTTGACTAGTAATAGATGTATTCTGCTACAGCACATACAGTGTCTTATAAGCCCATGTGGGCGGGGCATCCTGAAGAGGCATGACACCATACTAATATAATAATACAGTGTAGCTAGACAGCCCTGACTAGGAGGGACTGACTCTCTTCCTGTCTCCCTTTATTCCCCAACGCTTGGCTCTTCCTCTCTCCCGTCTTCATATCTCTGTCTCTCCCTCCCTCCCTCTCTCCCTCTCTCCTGCTCTCCCTCCCTCCCTCCCTCCCTCTCTCCAGGGTACTGTAATCCGTGTGTTCTCCATCCCAGAGGGACAGCGTCTGTTTGAGTTCCGCAGAGGGATGAAGAGGTCAGAGTTCACACAACAGAACATAAACTGTATAAACACACGTTATACTGTAACAGAACACATAAAACACACATTATGAACAGGACCAACAGAACACATAAAACACACCTTATGAACAGGACCAACAGAACACATAAAACACACCTTATGAACAGGACCAACAGAACACATAAAACACACCTTATGAACAGGACCAACAGAACACATAAAACACACCTTATGAACAGGACCAACAGAACACATAAAACACACCTTATGAACAGGACCAACAGAACACATAAAACACACCTTATGAACAGGACCAACAGAACACATAAAACACACCTTATGAACAGGACCAACAGAACACATAAAACACACCTTATGAACAGGACCAACAGAACAACATAAAACACACCCTTATGAACAGGACCAACAGAACACATAAAACACACCTTGTGAACAGGACTAACAGAACACATAAAACACACCTTATGAACAGGACTAACAGGACACATAAAACACACCTTATGAACAGGACCAACAGAACACATAAAACACACCTTATGAACAGGACCAACAGAACACATAAAACACACCTTATGAACAGGACCAACAGAACACATAAAAACACACCCTTATGAACAGGACCAACAGAACACATAAACACACACCTTATGAACAGGACTAACAGAAACACATAAAACACACCTTATGAACAGGACCAACAGAACACATAAAACACACCTTATGAACAGGACCAACAGAACACATAAAACACACCTTATGAACAGGACCAACAGAACACATAAAAACCACCTTATGAACAGGACCAACAGAACCACATAAAACACACCTTATGAACAGGACCAACAGAACACATAAAACCACCCTTATGACAGGACCAACAGACACATAAACACACCTTATGAACAGGACCAACAGAACACATAAAACACACCTTATGAACAGGACCAACAGAACACATAAAAACACCACCTTATGAACAGGACCAACAGAACACATAAAACACACCCTTATGAACAGGACCAACAGAACACATAAAACACCCACCTCACATAAAACACACCTTATGAACAGGACCAACAGAACACATAAAACACACCTTATGAACAGGACCAACAGAACACATAAAACACACCTTATGAACAGGACCAACAGAACACATAAAACACACCTTATGAACAGGACCAACAGAACACATAAAACACACCTTATGAACAGGACCAACAGAACACATAAAACACACCTTATGAACAGGACTAACAGAACACATAAAACACACCTTATGAACAGGACTAACAGGACACATAAAACACACCTTATGAACAGGACCAACAGAACACATAAAACACACCTTATGAACAGGACCAACAGAACACATAAAACACACCTTATGAACAGGACCAACAGAACACATAAAACACACCTTATGAACAGGACCAACAGAACACATAAAACACACCTTATGAACAGGACCAACAGAACACAGGACATTATCGGACATTTCCTCGTCTAGGTTCTCTATTCCCGCCCCCAATGAAATAACGACCTATCAGGAGCATGGGAAACCGTAAGGATTTTGCTGTGGTAAACAAATAAATACTTAATTTCAGTGATACGGATTGATTGTCAAATAGTTAAATCTACTCTTGGTCAGCTACAAAAGCAGGTTTAATTTACACCGATGATAACACCCACCAGAGGGCGAAAATGTCTTCAAAGACGTTGACCGCAAACAACACTATAATTAACACTGGCAACACTGCAGCCATAGATGTAATCTCCAGATTGGGGAGACAGGCATGTGTTTATTTTAAATTTATTTGACCTTTATTTAACTAGGCAAGTCATTTAAGAACAAATTCTTATTTACAATGACGGCCTACACCGGCCAAACCCGGACGACGCTGGGCCAATTGTGCGCCGCCCTATGGGACTCCCGAGCACGGCCGGTTGTGATACAGCCTGGAATTGAACCAGAGGGTCTGTAGTGACGCCTCAAGCACTGAGATGCAGGGTGAGATGCAGTGCCTTAGACCGCTGCGCCACTCAGGAGCCCGAGTGGTGCAATGCAGAGTAGTAGACTAACATTATGACAACATCAGAACAGACTGAAGACAGGTTTCTGAGTTTATAAGAAGCTCCACCACATGGCTCAGTATTGGAGTTGAGTCATGTGGAATAGAACAGGCAAAACAAGGGAATATCAAGCTGAAATGTTTTGCGTTTCAAATGCATCTTTCATAGATAGATGACGTCATTGGTGTAATTAAGTTCTTACTAACAGTATGAGTGTAGAAGAGACTTATAATAACTTCCTGTGTGTGTGTGTCTGCAGGTACGTCAACATCAGTTCCCTGTCCTTCAGTCCTGACGCCCAGTTCCTCTGTGCCTCCAGCAACACTGAGACCGTACACATCTTCAAACTGGAACAGCATGGACCCAGGTACACACACACAACCACACAAACACACACACACACACACACAGAAGGAGTCACCCTCAACCTGGCAAGTCTACATGGGGAAAACACTCTCACTCTCTCTCTCTATCCCCCTCTCTTTAACCCTGTATCTCCCTGTCTCTCTCTGTGCATCTCAATGTCTCTCTGTGTATCTCCCTGTCTCTCTGTGTATCTCCCTGTCTCACTGTGTATCTCCCTGTCTCTCTAACCCTGTATCTCCCTGTCTCTCTAACCCTGTATCTCCCTGTCTCTCTCTGTGTATCTCCCTGTCTCTCTCTGTGTATCTCCCCGTCTCTCTCTGTGTATCTCCCCGTCTCTCTCTGTGTATCTCCCTGTCTCTCTAACCCTGTATCTCCCTGTTCTTCTAACCCTGTATCTCCCTGTTCTTCTAACCCTGTATCTCCCCGTCTCTCTCTGTGTATCTCCCTGTCTCTCTAACCCTGTATCTCCCTGTTCTTCTAACCGTGTATCTCCCTGTTCTTCTAACCCTGTATCTCCCCATCTCTCTCTGTGTATCTCCCTGTCTCTCTAACCCTGTATCTCCCTGTCTCTCTACCTGGTATCTCCCTGTCTCTCTCTGTGTATCTCCCTGTCTCTGTGTATCTCTTCTCTGTGTATCTCCCTGTCTCTCTAACCCTGTATCTCCCTGTCTCTCTAACCCTGTATCTCCCTGTCTCTCTCTGTGTATCTCCCCGTCTCTCTCTGTGTATTCCTCGTTCTTCTGTATCTCCCTGTCTTCAACCCTGTATCTCCCTGTCTCTTCTAACCCTGTATCTCCCGTCTTCTGTGTATCTCCCTGTCTCTCTAACCCTGTATCTCCCTGTCTCTCTCTGTGTATCTCCTGTTCTTCTCTTGTATCTCCCTGTCTTCTAACCCTGTATCTCCCTGTCTCTCTCTGTATCTCCCTGTCTCTCTGTGTATCTCCCTGTCTCTCTGTGTATCTCTGTCTCACTGTGTATCTCCCTGTCTCTCTAACCCTGTATCTCCCTGTCTCTCTGTGTATCTCCCTGTCTCTCTGTGTATCTCTGTCTCACTGTGTATCTCCCTGTCTCTCTAACCCTGTATCTCCCTGTCTCTCTAACCCTGTATCTCCCTGTCTCTCTGTGTATCTCCCTGTCTCTCGTGTATCTCCGTCTCCACTGTGTATCTCCCTGTCTCTCTAACCCTGTATCTCCCTGTTCTTCTAACCCTGTATCTCCGTTCTCTCTGTATCTCCCGTTCTCTCTGTGTATCTCCCTGTCTTCTCTGTGTATCTCCTGTTCTCTAACCCTGGTATCTCCCTGTCTCTCTAACCCTGTATCTCCCTGTCTCTCTAACCCTGTATCTCCCTGTCTCTCTCTGTGTATCTCCCGTCTCTCTCCTGTATCTCCCTGTCTCTTACCCTGTATCTCCCTGTCTCTCTCGTGTATCTCCCGTCTCTCTCTGGTATCCCTGTATCCTACCCTGTCTCCCTCTCTCCTGTGTATCTCCCTGTCTCTCTCTGTGTATCTCCCTGGTATCTCCTTACCCGTCTCTCTCTCTGTGTATCTCCCGTCTCTCCTGTATCTCCCGTCTCTCTAACCCTGTATCTCCGTCTCTCCTGTGTTCTCCCGCTCTCTCTGTGTATCTCCTGTCTCTCTAACCTGTATCCCCGTCTCTCCTGTGTATCTCCCTGTCTCTCTAACCCTGTATCTCCCTGTCTCTCTCTGTGTATCTCCCGTCTCTCTCTGTGTATCTCCCGGTCTCTCTAACCCTGTATCTCCCTGTCTCTCTCTGTGTATCTCCCGTCTCTCTATCCCTGTTATCTCCCTGTCTCGCTAACCCTGTATCTCCCTGTCTCTCTCGTGTATCTCCCTCTCTCCTGTGTATCTCCGTCTCCTGCTGATCTCCCTGTCTCTCTCTGTGTATCTCCCTGTCTCTCTCTGTGTATCTCCCTGTCTCTCTAACCCTGTATCTCCCTGTCTCTCTCTGTGTTTCTCCCCATCTCTCTCTGTGTATCTCCCGGTCTCTCTCTGTGTATCTCCCGGTCTCTCTATCCCTGTTACTCCCTGTCTCGCTAACCCTGTATCTCCCTGTCTCTCTAACCCTGTATCTCCCTGTCTCTCTCTGTGTATCTCCGTCTCTATAACCCTGTATCTCCCTGTCTCCCTTACCCTGTATCTCCCTGTCTCTCTCGTGTATCTCCCTGTCTCTCTCTGTGTATCTCCCTGTATCTCTCTAACCCTGTTATCTCCCTGTCTCTCTCTGTGTATCTCCCTCTCTCTCTGTGTATCTCCCGTCTCTCTCTGTGTATCTCCCTGTCTCTCTATCCCTGTATCTCCCTGTCTCTCTAACCCTGTATCTCCCTGTCTCTCTAACCCTGTATCTCCCTGTCTCTCTGTGTATCTCCCGTCTCTCTAACCTGTAGTCTCTCCTGTGTCTCCCTGTACTCTTGTATCTCCCTGTCTCTCTACCTGTTATTCCCTGTCCTTTGTGTATCTCTCACTGTTCGTCCTGCTGTATCTCCCTGTCTCTCTCTGTGTATTCCCTGTCTTCTCTGTGTATCTCCCTGTCTTCTCTACCTTGTATCTTCCTGTCTCTCTAATCTGTATCTCCTGTCTCTTACTGGTATCTCCCTGTCTCTCTAACCCTGTATCTCCCTGTCTCTCTCTATGTAGTGGAGAGGAGGAGTGTCCTACCTGGGGATCATACGTAGGGAAGATGTTCTCTGCAGCCAGCAGCTACCTCCCAGCCCAGGTGTCTGTCTTATTTGCATTTCCTTTCTTGTTCCCTGCATGTTTATATATTATGCTTATTCTTATTCAATACTATTTCAAATACTTTTTTAGTTGCTGTACTGAGAGGAGATCTTGTAAGTAAGCATGTCATTGTACTGTGTACACCAAGCTGTATCCTGTCATACGACAATAAACTTTGATTGGATTTGAGGTGTCTGGAGTGATGAGTCAGGAAAGAGCCTTCGCCACTGTACGCCTCCTAGTGGCCGGGCAGAGGAACGTCTGTACCCTCGCCACGTGAGTCTCCCTGTGTGTGTGTGTGTGTGTAGGGCGTGTGTTTGTGTGTGTAGGGTGTGTGAGTTTGAGTTTGTGTGTAGGATGTGTGTGTGTAGGGTGAGTGTGTGTGTGTGTGTGTGTGTGTGTAGGGTGTGTGTGTGTGTGTGTACTGTATAGGGTGTTGGTGTGTGTTTTTGGTCTCATTAGGTTTTGGTCTTCTATTTGTTATACACAGTAATAGACAGTATTACACAGTAATAGACAGTATTACACAGTAATAGCCATAGTAGACAATAATATACAGTATTACACAGTAATAGACAGTATTACACAGTAGTAGACAGTATTACACAGTAGTAGACAGTAGTAGACAGTAGTAGACAGTAGTAGACAGTATTACACAGTATTAGACAGTATTAGACAGTATTACACAGTAATAGACAGTAGTATACAGTTACACAGTAGTAGACAGTAACATACAGTATTACACAGTAATAGACAGTAGTAGACAGTTTAAAATACTATATAGTAGATCATCCTGACCTGATCCTAGAGTAATGGCCATAATTGATAGAGTGCTGTATGTCCTGTTACACTGGGTGTGAGGGTGTCATGGCTGGCTGTGTCTGTCTGTCAGGATCCAGAAGCTTCCTCGTCTGCTGGTGGCCTCCTCCGACGGACAGCTGTTCATCTATAACGTAGACCCTCAGGACGGAGGAGAGTGTGTCCTGGCTCAGAAACACAGGTGAGAGGTCAACTCAGGTCAGAGGTCAATCGAGGTCAGAAGCCCTTACTGCTGCTTTGCTAATCAAACAAACTTCTGAAAGTGATATATGGAAAACCATCATCTGCAACTTATTCAATACCAGACCTAGTATTCATGTTGTCATCTGCAACTTATTCAATACCAGACCTAGTATTCATGTTGTCATCTGCAACGTATTCAATACCAGACCTAGTATTCATGTTGTTATCTGCAACGTATTCAATACCAGACCTAGTATTCATGTTGTCATCTGCAACGTATTCAATACCAGACCTAGTATTCATGTTGTTATCTGCAACGTATTCAATACCAGACCTAGTATTCATGTTGTCATCTGCAACGCATTCAATACCAGACCTAGTATTCATGTTGTCATCTGCAACGTATTCAATACCAGACCTAGTATTCATGTTGTTCTCAAAATCAATCTCGTCACTTTCGCTGTGTTTGTTCCTTTTCTCTGTCTGTCTGTCTGTTCTCTCTGTCACGGTCTGTCTGTCTGTTCTCTCTCTCTGTCTGTCTGTCTGTTCTCTCTGTCATGGTCTGTCTGTCTGTTCTCTCTGTCTCGGTCTGTCTGTCTCTGTCTGTCTGTTCTCTCTCGGTCTCTGTCTGTCTGTTCTCTCTCTGTCTCTGTCTGTTCTCTCTCTTTATCTGTTTCTCTCTCTCAATTCAATTTCAATTTAAGGGGCTTTATTGGTATGGGAAACATAAGTTTACATTGCCAAAGCAAGTGAAATAAACAGAACAGTAAACATTACACTCACAAGTTCCAAAAGAATAAACACATTTCAAATGTCATATTATGTCTATATACAGTGTTGTAACAATGTGCAAATAGTTAAAGTACAAATGAGAAAATAAATAAATATATATGGGTTCGATTCCCACAGGGGGTATAAGAAAAAAATGTATAATAATGTGACTAAACTGTAAGTCGCTCTGGATAAGAGCGTCTGCTAAATGACTTAATGTAAATGTAAATGTAAATATGGGTTGCATTTACAATGGTGTTTGTTCTTCACTGGTTGCCCTTTTCTTGTGGCAACAGGTCACAAATCTGGCTGCTGTCTCTTGCTGTCTCTCTCTGTACCATCTCTCTCTCCCTCTCTCTCTCTTTCTAACCCCTCTCTCTCTATACCCTCAATCTCTCTCTCTACCCTCACTCTCTCTCTACCCTCACTCTCTCTCTACCCTCCTCTCTCTCTACCCCTCTCTCTCTACCCTCTCTCTACCATCTCTCTCCCTCTCTCTTTCTAACCCCTCTCTCTTTCTAACCCCTCTCTCTCTACCCTCTCTCTCTACCATCTCTCTCCCTCCCTCTCTCTTTCTAACCCCTCTCTCTCTTCCCTCTCTCTTTCTAACCCCTCTCTCTTTACCCTCTCTCTCTCTACCATCTCTCTCTCCCTCGCTCTCTCTTTCTAACCCCACTCTTTCTAACCCCTCTCTCTCTCAGGTTGTTTGGTGAAGATGAGGACAAGGAGGAGGGGGTGGAGTCAGAAGGGTCAGAGGTCACGGTGCCCGTCCAGGCATGTCCATCATACGCCGCCACTGTTGCCATACCAACCACCGGCCCAGTCACTACCACGCTCACAGGTGTGTGTGTGTGTGAGAGAAAAGACATCAGCGAGAGAGAGAGAGAGAGATGGACGGAAAGAGAGATTTGTGTTGTATCTGTAAAGGTGTGTGTGTATAACTTTACCTGTAACCTCTCTCCTCTCCTCCCCAGGTTACTCTGAGGACGGTGGGGCTAAGAAAGGCGAGGTGATCCCAGAACATGAGTTTGCCGCGGGTCCCGTCTGTCTAGATGATGAGAATGAGTTTCCTCCAGTGAGCAACCAGCAACTCTCCTAGCCTGGTCCTATACAGAAATAGTAGTCCTGCTAACTCTCCTAGCCTGGTCCTATACAGAAACAGTAGTCCTGCTAACTCTGCTAGCCTGGTCCTATACTGAAACAGTAGTCCTGCTAACTCTGCTAGCCTGGTCCTATAGAGAAACAGTAGTCCTGCTAACTCTCCTAGCCTGGTCCTATATAGAAACAGTAGTCATGCTAACTCTGCTATCCTGGTCCTATACTGAAACAGTAGTCCTGCTAACTCTGCTAGCCTGGTCCTATACTGAAACAGTAGTCCTGCTAACTCTGCTAGCCTGGTCCTATACTGAAACAGTAGTCCTGCTAACTCTCCTAGCCTGGTCCTATACTGAAACAGTATAGGCCGCGGGTCCTGCTAACTCTCCTAGCCTGGTCCTATAGAGAAACAGTAGTCCTGCTAACTCTGCTAGCCTGGTCCTATACTGAAACAGTAGTCCTGCTAACTCTCCTAGCCTGGTCCTATAGAGAAACAGTAGTCCTGCTAACTCTGCTAGCCTGGTCCTATAGAGAAACAGTAGTCCTGCTAACTCTGCTAGCCTGGTCCTATAGAGAAACAGTAGTCCTGCTAACTCTCCTAGCCTGGTCCTATACTAAAGGACAGCTCCTAGTTAGTGGTAAGCAACAGTAGTACCTCTGGGATACTGAGCCTAGAAGGACATAAAGTAGAATCAGATCACATTTAAAGAGTTGACCATACTCTCTTTATATTCCACTCTGGTGCCAGCTAGGGTCCATTTAGAAACATAGTAACTATAATACTAGCCTAGTCCCCTTCCCTACCCCCTACTACCCCTTATAACAGTGGCCCAGTTTAGCAAGGCCTCCACACTAACTTCTACAAAACAATGGGCTTAACTCCTACAGTATACACTGAGTGAACAAAACATTAGGAACACCTCAATTTGTCGGGGCTTGGACTCTTCAAGGTGTTGAAAGCGTTCCATAGGGATGCTGGCCCATGTTGACTCCAATGTTTCCCACAGTTGTCGGCTGGATACACACGGGAAACTGTTGAGCGTGAAAAACCCAGGAGCTTTGCAGTTCTTGACACAAACTGGTGCGCCTGGCACCTGCTTACCATACCCCATTCAAAGGCACTTAAATATTTTGTCTTGCCCATTCACTCTCTGAATGGCACACATGCACATTCCATGTCTCAATTGTCTCAAGGCTTAAAAATATATATTTTGAACCTGTCTCCACCCCTTCATCTACACTGATCAATAAGGGATCATAGCTTTCACCTCGATTCACCTGGTCAGTCAGTCTATGTCGTGGAAAGAGCAGGTGTTCCTAATGTTTTGTGTACTCAGTATATATACAGTAGGTTTTATAATACGTTTTTTTTTTTTTATGCTGACGGTTGCAATGTGTTTCACTCTGTGAATACCGGTATTACTTTAATATATCATTCCTCTGGAATAGCTATTTTAGCTTGTATGCGATTTTATAAATGTTACCTTCTTAATATTACGTGTTTAATGAATCAAGTGGGGTTTTGCCATGACGGATTTTGAAAGAACCTTTCAGATGTATAGGCCAGGATTAAATTCGATCGTGGGTGATAAGCGTTGGGGCTTTTAAAGGAAATGTTCACGCCTTCGCAGATATTACATTTGCGGTAAACGCTGCATATGTCGACTCAATCGGATATTGCCTTTAAAAGTCGCAATGCCGATAACCCGCGATCGGATGGAATCCTAGTTGCATGTGGACAGTTCTGTTGGTGTAATTGTTATATTAATCCACAAGGGGGTGCTGTTGTCCCACTGTGTGAGACCCTATTGCTCAGTGAAATCTGTAAGAAAGTAGAAGTTGCTCCTAAGCACTTATCTAGGATCAGCATACTCCTGGCCAGTCCTGACCTTTACTATATGAAGGTTAAGTGCAATACTGGTCCTAGATCAGTGTACAAGGAGAAGATTTTACGTTGCTCTATTGGCGACTGGGGTATAGAGAGAGCCCATGATTCTCAATGTCAGCCTTTTTCAAACCTCTCCTCGGGGACACCCAGACGTTTCACAGTGTTGTTGTAACCCTGAGCTAGCGCCTGATTATTAGCAGTCAAGTGCTTGTTGACCGGTCGTAGCATCAGGTGTGCTAGGACAGGCTGGGGGTTGCCGAGAAGAGGTTGGGAAGAGGCTACCTATGTAATGCCCTCCTAGTGTATATGTCCTATTGGAATGAATGTCTACCTGTAGTTCTTTCTCATTCTCTGAGAAGGGAGTGTAAGAGGTAATACATATCCATGTGACTACACTATAATAATGATGTCGTTTTCTTAAAGTTCTTGGCATGACTGTGTTTTATAACGTATAACGAAATCTGTTTGTACAACTCTGTCTAGTCTGTCCCATGCCTGGTCCTAGAAAACCTTGTCTGAGAGCATTAATTGCAGGATTTATCTTAGTGGAGTGTTTTTAAAACCTTTTCCTTGATATTGGTAAAGGTGGACATGTTATCTTTAGTCTGTCTCTCAGGGTTGGGGTCAATTCCATTTCAATTCAGTCAATTCAGGAAGTACACTGGAATTGACTGCGCTGCTTTTGACCCTGGTAGTGCACCTGGTGTAAAGTAGTGCACTATATAAGGAATAGGGTGCCATTTGGGACGCACCCTGAATTGACATGGAAGGAACCTCAACCATGTTGTCTCTATTATAACACAACTATGACCAAAACCATTCAACCTGACCCCTGACCCCGGTCTGTTTTGGTGTTTTGGTAGATAAATTGGTGCCGCGACGGAACTCGAGGTGGCCAGTGGCGCCGTCTGTGAGGGTAGAACGAAGGAAGAAAGGACAGGAGGACAGGCGGGCAGACGGACAGACAGACAGACAGGTGTTAGAACACACTAACACCTGGTCTGGAACCACTTACAGGAGGGCCGTTGCATGAGCTAGGACAAAGTAAACGAGAGGGAAAAAATACTCTTGTTTTAGGGTGCTAAGTTATTTTTTAATTAAGTGATTAAAAAATAAAATAATATTGATGATTTCTAATTGGAGGGGGGGGTGGGTGTTTGTGAGCCGGTGTGTTACAGTCCTGGGTCAAATATATAATGTCAAACACTTTCAAATACCACTATGTCCTAAAAGGCACCCCTGTTCCCTATTTAGTGCACTACTTTTGACTGGGGCTCTGCTCAAAAGTAGTGCACTATGTAGGGAATAGGGTGCCTTTTGGTACACAGTCCAGGGCTGTGCTTAGTTTAGTTCAGTGGTTCCCAACCATGGGTACTAGGACCGACTTGAGAAGACTCATGAGACCATAGGCCTACTGGTAAAATGCACATGAGGGGGTAAATCAGGTGTACTCCGGGCAGAGCAAGATTCAGTTGGTGGTAAAGTAACCGAAAAAGGTTGGGAACCACTGGTTTAGTTTACCCTGTATAATGTAACCAATGGAATATTCCCAAAAGGGCAAACTCCAAGCTAAATCAAGGTCACAAAGGCTATGTCTCAAATGGCACCTTGGAAGAGCAGTGGAAGTATTAGAGACCATGGAAGTGATCCGTCTCTGCTGTGTTAAGACTCTACTGTACGAAGTGCACGACTGACATGTCGGAAATATAACCACGTTTTTTCATTGCTACATACATTACTTGACAAAAATATTTTATAATAGAATAATTCAATTGTTTAATTTTTAGCATCATCACAACTTTGTATTATGTTTGTTATTATTAACATAAAGATTAGGAGTTTAACCGTTTTTATTATAATGTTGATTTTGTTTTAATTCTGTGTATCTGGATGTATTGATACTTATTAAGTGTTTACATGTGCGCCTCTGGGACACGATCCAGCAGGTCGTTTTGTATGTACGTGCCGATGATATCATTTGTAAAAGTGCGAAGTTTGCGGATTGCACAAGACCAAAAAAGAAACCACACAGAAACCAACAAATAAAGAACTAGACTTCAGTAGGAATGGAATTATGCAAATCACCTGACTTGTTGAGTGGTTATTTATCTCTAATGGGGGAGGAGAGAGCGAGAGAGAGAGCGAGATGTACTAGACTGTGGCGACCTAAATGCCAGAATTGGACAAGAACCTGACACCCTCAGCACACAGGGGGACAAACACCTACCTGGAGGTGACAGCATTTTCTTTTATTTTTTTTTATTTTTGTTAAATATTTAAATTTTTATTTATTTAATAAAAAAAAATTTGGGGGGGGGGGGGGGGTAGAAGGATTACTTTATCCTATCCCAGGTATTCCTTAAAGAGGTGGGGTTTCAAATGTCTCCGGAAGGTGGTGAGTGACTCCGCTGTCCTGGCGTCGTGAGGGAGCTTGTTCCACCATTGGGGTGCCAGAGCAGCGAACAGTTTTGACTGGGCTGAGCGGGAACTATGCTTCCGCAGAGGAAGGGGAGCCAGCAGGCCAGAGGTGGATGAACGCAATGCCCTCGTTTGGGTGTAGGGACTGATCAGAGCCTGAAGGTACGGAGGTGCCGTTCCCCTCACTGCTCCATAGGCAAGCACCATGGTCTTGTAACGGATGCGAGCTTCAACTGGAAGCCAGTGGAGTGTGCGGAGGAGGGGGGTGACGTGAGAGAACTTGGGAAGGTTGAACACCAGACGGGCTGCGGCATTCTGGATGAGTTGTAGGGGTTTAATGGCACAGGCAGGGAGCCCAGCCAACAGCGAGTTGCAGTAATCCAGACGGGAGATGACAAGTGCCTGGATTAGGACCTGTGCCGCTTCCTGTGTAAGGCAGGGTCGTACTCTCCGAATGTTGTAGAGCATGAACCTGCAGGATCGGGTCACCGCCTTGATGTTAGCGGAGAACGACAGGGTGTTGTCCAGGGTCACGCCAAGGCTCTTCGCACTCTGGGAGGAGGACACAACGGAGTTGTCAACCGTGATGGCGAGATCATGGAACGGGCAGTCCTTCCCCGGGAGGAAGAGCAGCTCCGTCTTGCCAGGGTTCAGCTTGAGGTGGTGATCCGTCATCCATACTGATATGTCTGCCAGACATGCAGAGATGCGATTCGCCACCTGGTTATCAGAAGGGGGAAAGGAGAAGATTAGTTGTGTATCGTCAGCGTAGCAATGATAGGAGAGGCCATGTGAGGATATGACAGAGCCAAGTGACTTGGTGTATAGGGAGAAAAGGAGAGGGCCTAGAACTGAGCCCTGGGGGACACCAGTGGTGAGAGCACGTGGTGCGGAGACAGCTTCTCGCCACGCCACTTGGTAGGAGCGACCGGTCAGGTAGGACGCAATCCAGGAGTGAGCCGCGCCGGAGATGCCCAGCTCGGAGAGGGTGGAGAGGAGGATCTGATGGTTCACAGTATCAAAGGCAGCAGACAGGTCTAGAAGGACAAGAGCAGAGGAGAGAGAGTTAGCTTTAGCAGTGCGGAGAGCCTCCGTGACACAGAGAAGAGCAGTCTCAGTTGAATGACCAGTCCTGAAACCTGACTGGTTTGGATCAAGAAGGTCATTCTGAGAGAGATAGCAAGAGAGTTGGCTAAAGACGGCACGCTCAATAGTTTTGGAAAGAAAAGAAAGAAGGGATACTGGTCTGTAGTTGTTGACATCAGTGGGATCGAGTGTTGGTTTTTTGAGAAGGGGTGCAACTCTCGCTCTCTTGAAGACGGAAGGGACATAGCCAGCGGTCAAGGATGAGTTGATCAGCGAGGTGAGGTAGGGGAGAAGGTCACCGGAGATGGTCTGGAGAAGAGAGGAGGGGATGGGGTCAAGCGGGCAGGTTGTTGGGCGGCCTGCAGTCACTAGTCGCAAGATTTTATCTGGAGAGAGAGGGGAGAAAGAAGTCAAAGCATAGGGTAGGGCAGTGTGAGCAGGACCAGCAGTGTCATTAGACTTAACAAACGAGGATCGGATGTCGTCAACCTTCTTTTCAAAGAGGATTCAGCAGTGAGGAGAATGTGGCAAAGAGCTTCCTAGGGTTAGAGGCAGATGCTTGGAATTTAGAGTGGTAGAAAGTGGCCTTAGCAGCAGAAA